GGAGGGCCTGGGTTCAATCCTCAGCACCACATAAAAATAAATAAATAAATAGGTTAAAAAAAAGAATCTAATGCTGGGTGAGGGTTGAGGGGGAGAGTTGAAGAAATTTCTCAGGAAGTAGAATAAAAAGAAAATAAATAAGAACTAAAAGTGAAATACAAAGGGGTCTAATATCAGAATAATGAATGTTCCAGCAAACCAGAGACACAATGGAAGAATATGTAATCAATAATTTCGAAATTCAAGGAAATTTCTCAGAGCTGAAGCACATGGCTTGGCAAATAAAGAGGCTTTGAGTGCTCAGACTAAGTAATGAAAATATACCTATACCAAGGTATGAAATTTCAGGCCACAAGAGACTGAGAGACAACTGTATAAGCTTCTAGAGTAAAAATTATGAGAATTTCATAAAAAGAGTCAGAAATCATGATGGCTACACTCAATGGCTAAACTGAAAGCTAGAAGACCAGAGCAAGGCTGTTAAAATTCTGAAGGAAACTAATATCAGGGGCTAGAGTTGTGGCTCAGTGGTAGAGTGCTTGCCTAGCATGTGTGAGGCATTGTGTTCGATTCTCAGCACCGAGTATAAACAAATAAAATAAAGGTCCATTGACAACTAAAAAATAAAAAGAAAATAATATCAGTCCTAGTACTCGGCACCCAGACTATGAATAAAATCGAAGGGATGAAAATGTACTTTACAACATACAAGGTTTTAGAAATCCCTCTAGTCTTTTATCATTCTTTCTCAGAAAGCCATTGGAGGGAGGATGGTCTTCACAATAGGGGAGTAAAACAAAGAAGAAAGCATTGTTTAAGCCGATCCGTGGCTCCTGTGATTTTCAAGGCCTCTATTTTTGTCATTGCACTAAAATCGATCTGGTCCTCCATCCCTTTTGTCTAGAACTATGCTTCATAAGCATTGATATGAACATTAATAAGTCAGAATCTTGTAAAAGTGCAGATTCTTATTCAGTGTGTCTGGAATAGGGCCTGGAAATCTGCATCTTAAGGTCTCTCAGATGCTGGCGCCACTGATATGCAGACTGGACTTTGAATTACAAGGGGCTAATTACTCAGGACTAATGAAATAGCCTAAATGGTCTCTTTTCCAGCAGTGCCACTCTTAACTCTCTTCTCCTCCAGCTACTAGAATAAATTTCCAGAGACAAGGCTTTGATTGTGATTTGAGATGTTTCATCTCTATGTTGTACACTGAAGCAAAGTGACTTCCTTAGTACTATTTGCATCATACTAATTTTTATTTTTTTCATTGCACTAAAACCGTGTCTAACCTAAACTTTATCATTGAAATGAGTTTTCAAAATATTAATACTTCTTTATATTCAAGATTGATAATTGATCCCTTAATATCCATTGGCATTTGTTTCATTTCTGCATGCGTTTGCTTCCAAATTCTCATTCAATTTTTTTCCATATATTTCTATTATTTTTTCTATTATTTGAATTGTATCTGGAATGAGTTAAACCTCTATCATTACATCTCTGTGTTTTTCTTAGTATACCTCTTTTCATGTTTGGCATTTTGGTTTACAAACTAATCTTGGGCTCTCTCTCTATCTGTGTGTGTGTGTGTGTGTGTGTGTGTGTGTGTGTGTGTGTTTGCTTATCATCTCCCAGACTAGCAGTGATAGTAGTATATTGCAAATCACATTGCTTAGTTCAGTTCTCTAACAAGGTAATATCCCCAGAAAGGTAGCAACTATTGCAAAAAATTATTTCAATCTTGATTCACAAGTAGGGGAGATGGTTAGGTAAGGAAAGCTGGTTATCTATTGCTGTAAAACTGCCATAAAACTGAGTGTCACTGGGCACACTGGTACACACCTATAATCCCAGTGGCTGGGGAGGCTCAGACAGAAGGATCGCAAGTTCAAAATCAGCCTCAGCAATGGTGAGGAGCTAAGCATCTCAGTGGGACCCTGTCTCTAATAAAATATAAAATAGGGTTTGGGATGTGGCTCTCAAAATCATTGCTCATTTGGTGCAGAAAAAAAAAAACTGAGTGCCTTGAGACAACAATGACTTATTAATTTATATAATTCTGTGGGTTGATCCATATAGCATAGGCTGAAGTCACTCCATTGGTTACATTAAGCTGGTAACTCACTGCTGGAATGGTCGAGATGACCTCTCATTCTTCAAGGTGACTCTTTCCATGTGGCTTTCCATCACTGAAGATCTTGCCTCAGCTTTTTCACAACATAGCCATTGGCTTTCAAGAGGAAAGTTTCCAATAGGACATAAACCAGTTCATGAACACCTATTAAGCCTCTGTGGTATCTCATTTATTGATGTCCCATTGCTAAGCAAATCATATGGCCAAACCTCAAGAGTCAATGTGGGAGGGGATTACACAAGGGTGCCCATATTGGCAAGTGGCTTATTGAATGACACTAATACAACAGTCTCTCACCAGGCTGGTTCATGTCTCTAGCCACATGTGGAGTCCTATTAGTCTCTACTATTCTATAGGAGCTAACCCTTGGTTTATGTCTTCCTGTTGCCATATACACAGAGTCTGGGACCTATCTGACTTTGGTCCTGATCACCCTTTTGCATTTTGGTTCTTTTTCAGATACAAGGAAAAATTTATCCTCTTTATAAAAAATCACAGCTGAAACTTGTGCTTTCCTCATTTATTTTGTATTTCTTCTCATTTTTCTGTTTGAACCAGAATGAGTGATGAGTCTTAGAATATTAATTGAAAATGTCATATTGTCTGGAAGTCTGGCTCAACAAGAAGTCCATTTTCCTTGGTAAGATCCTCTATCAGTTTGCTCTAACTTTCACTGAAAATGTCATTCTTTTCTTATCCACATCCCTTTCCCATCTCTTTCCTGTGTAATTTTACAACAGTGTTCACTGAACAGTCAGTACCTGTCTTTGTCTCTTGTTCATTTTGTTCTTGAAATGGTCTTGCTCTCAAGAGTTGCACAGACACCCTCTATTTACTCTTCTAGCTAAATTTTCACAGACAGAAATACTCTCTCTCTCTCTGAAATCCTTGTATTTTCCTTGTATTTTTCTTATGGCACTTGTGAGTTCCTATCTTTTTATCATAGGTAGTTACATATACTTTAACTCCATCTTGATTCCTTGGGAGTTATGTTCATGCCAGATTCTCTCTGCATTGTGCTTTGCACATATATAGTAATTTCTCAATACATGTTTGTTGCCTTCCCTCTCCAAAATTATCTAAGGCATCTAATTTACACATGAATGGGAATATGACATCCACATTTATTTTACATCTTTTCCATTTTAGGTCATTTAATTCTATAGCTGGTACTGATTGCCCTTATATTTTATTAAGTATAATCAGAATACAGTGCATGTAAGTAATTTCGTCTAATTTTGGTGGTTTCTAAGAAAATTCTCTAAAGGCATACTTTGAGTTCACACATTAGGCTGAACACTGTAGTTAGAATCATCTCTAGATTTATATTTTAATCCTCCTACTGCAACTTTCTTTTGACTTTTAGAAAATAGTTTTAAATGGGTATTGTTGCTTAATATTTAACTGACTATAAGTGGTGTCATGTGTCCATATGAGATTGTAAATTCTTGAGAAGTGGAATCACTATTTATTTACCTTTATTTTGTTTTGTTTAATCAAGAATTGAATCCAGGGGCGCTAAACCATTGAGCCACATCTCCAAGCCCCCCCCCTTTTCTTTTAAATTTTGAGACAGGATCTTGCTAAGTTGCTTAAAGCCTAGCTAAATGCTAAGGCTGTCTTTGAAATTGCCATCCTCCTGCCTTAGCCTTCTGAGCTGCTGGGATTACAGGCATGTGCCACCATATTTACCTTTTAATGCTCAGTGCCTAGGACAGGCTAGAACATGTCAGTGTTCAATGCCAAAGTACTAACAAAATACAAAAGTGGGGCTGGAGTTGTAGCTCAGTGGTAGAGAGCTTGCCTAGCATGTGTGAGGCACTGGGTTCCATTCTCAGCACCACATAAAAATAAATAAATTAATAAAATAAAATAAAGGCATCGTGTACATCTACAACTAATATATATATATATATATATTTGTTATATATATATATATATATATATATATATATATATGTATATGTATATATATGGGAGTATTTAATTATCTCTGGAGGCTTGGGGAGACCATCAGAAAAAAAGGTGAAATCTTAAGGGGTGAATAGGCTTATTCCAGGTTTAGAAGGGAAGCCATCGTGGTGGTAATGATGGTGCTCAAAAAGGAATTTGTTCTTGTTTGAAAGTACAGGCATGGCAGGGCTGGGGAACTCCAAGTGCCAACTGTGAAGGGTGGGTGACCCTCAGATTACTCCTACTGATTCTATTAGTCCTTAGGCTAAGCACCAGCATAGCCAGTTGAACCTGTTTGAGTGGGAGTCCTCAGATGCCGTTCCCGCTACTGTGAACAGTTGTCTGATAAAATGTAAATTAAGCAGTTGAATTAGAACTTTATTAAATAAACACTGTTATTTTTTTAGTGAAGCCTCCTGTATTTGGGACAAACTTGTATGAAAAATTATCTCAAATTCAAAGTTGGCATTTTTATTTGTTTTGATCTGCTCTGACTTTTTGTGTCTTTTTATTAGTTGCATCTGGCAATTCTGCCAGTACGGTTCTGCTGTGGCGCCAATGATTACAAACAAAATGCCACCATGACCCTGGCTTTCGTAGCCTTCTCTCCCGAGTCTCTCCAATCGGAAGCGAGCAAGGAGAAAACAGGCTTCCTGAAAAGAGACGCTGTAACTAGGCAACCAGGATAGGCACGCACCCAATCTTCTGCAGCATCTAGAAGACGTGCGCACGCGCTAGCCGACGCGACCTCTCGCGCTGAAGGGTGGGGACGACTGAACGTCGCTCTTTCACGTGACTTCGGTGCCTCCTTGTGATTGGATGCCTCGGGGGCGCGGCTCTCGGGCGCGGACGCTCCGGATTGGTGTTTCGGAGCAGTGGGGCGGAACCCCGGCTACAGCCGCGGGAGGTCCGGACACCGGCGGCCATGGGGACTCGCCGGTAAGTGCGCATCTGCCCCTCTCCCCTCCCGCACTCTGGGCCACTTCAGGTCGGCGCTGTGCTGTACCTGCTGGAGTGGGGCAGGCTATGTAAGGGATGAAGCTGGTCGGGCTTCAGGCCCGGAAGTCGGGTCTAAGGGTCTCCGGAGTCGAGTGGGGTTGAGGAAGCGTTGAAGGCTGGAGCCGGTTCGTTGGCTAAGGCTGGTGGGGCGAGGGACTGGGGACGGCGGGAGTCTGGGCCTTAGACCCCTGCACATACTCTGGCCATTTTCCTCCTCCCTTTGGGCCTAATCAGACTGTGCCTGACCCCGCCGGGTCGCGGACTGAGCGGGGGCACTCCCTCCTTGGCCCTAGCGCTCCCTAGCCACCTCTCGGAGTGGAGCCAGGCTATCTGTGAAGTACTTTCCCCTTGATCCCCAACCGCCTCCAGGTCTCTCCGAGGCTCCCCAGGAGCCTCCATTACTAATGACTGCTTGGGGCTTGTTGGCTATGTCGAGAATTTTAAGGTCTTTTTGAGTTTTCCAGTTTAAGTGGCTGGGTGGAGACTTTGGAGAAATTGCTCAACTTGTGTTTGTACAACTTCTCATCTGTAATTTGAGAGAGAAATAAATCGTATCTCTAAGCCTCTCTTCAGCTTTAAATTCGAAGATTCTCAGATTCTGTTGTATATTGAATGTTGATGTCCTGATGGTGGGCAAAATCCTCAGAACGTTTCAGATCAATGACAAAATTTTAAATAATTTCATTTGGCTCATTACGCACTGTTCATTATCATTCATCTTTTGAAACTGAATAGAACTGGAAGTTCAGGTTTAAGTGACAAATCACAGTAACACAATATTAGTTAAACCACTTCAAAGTGTTAACTTGAGGAGTCTCAATATTTGATAATGTTGAATCTTAGAAATTCAGTTCAGCAGACACTGCTCGAGTATTTCTGAGAGCATATTTAAAATGTAGATAAGGGCTGGGGCTGTAGCTCAGTGGTAGAGTGCTCGCCTCACATGTGGAAGGCATTGGGTTCAATCCTCAGCACCACATAAAAATAAAACATCACATAGAAATAAAATAAAGGTATTGTGTCCATCTACAACTAAAAAAATTTTTAAAAAATGTAGATGAGTTTATTGGAGAGAATTGATGTTAAGACTTTGCACACACAGTTAATTTGTATTTTCTGAGTTTGCAGGTGAAATCTGCAACTCAGATTAAGGATGGCTTCCCATTGTATAGTTGAGGTTTCTGGAGCCCTGGGCATCTTCATTTGTAAGCTAGGGAAGATTTTTAACTACATCTCTCAGATTCTTTAGCTATAAAAGTCTAAGAATCTGGGGCTTGGGATATTGGCTCAGTTGGTAGAGTGCTTGCCTTGCATACACAAGGCCCTGGGTTCATTCCCCAGCACCACAAAGATAAATAAATAAATAAAATCTCTCTTTCTGTTTGATGTGGAACATTCATTAAAAAAAAAAAAGTCTAAGCGTCTGTAGTAATATTGAATGAGCATTTCACATTGATATGGCTTTAGGGGATCCCTGAGATATACATTTCTCACTTTAGATATAGGAACTGACTGGAGATGGAGACTGTCTCTACTTTGGCCTTATTTTCAGACTCCACATTGAAAGGAGAGCACTCAGGGAAGAAGGGCCTACATAAAGAAAGTTTAAGGAAAAAATGAAGGGAGCAGTTTGATTATCACCATCCTTGAATAAGGAAGGAGAAAATATGGATTTTCCACAGCATGAACTCCAGGTGACATTTGAAAAGGTGCTATCTAGTTCCAGATATATTTTAACATAAACCGCAGAGCCAATACCAGCAGAAATTTATGAGCTGAATTGAATCAGTGGCTAAGCTCTAGAGCAGGAATCAGCAAACTTTCTGTAAAGAGCCAGATGGTAAATATTTTAGGCTCTGTGGGTCATATGGTCTCTGTGGCAGATAGTCTGCTGTTGTAGCACAAAAGTAGCCATTCACATAAATGAATGGGTGAGTCTGTGTTCCCATTAAACTTTTTACTTACAAAACCAGGCAGTAGACCAGAATAATTAGATTTGAATTCTGGGCTGTTTTAATCATCCTTTCTCCCTAAAACTTAGTGGTGTAAAATAGCAACCATTTTGCAGTTTTTCATGATTCTGTAGTCTACTAGGTATGGCTAATGGTATTTCTGGTCTTGCCAGTGGCCACCAGGGAGGCTGTATTTAGCTAGCAGTTTGGTGAGAGAATGGGTCCAGATAACATGAGCATGGCTGGGCCTCTGGCTCTCTCCATGTAGTCTGAGAGCTGGTCCCTCTTCATATTGTCTCCCCCATGTCTCTGTAGCACAATAGCTAAACTTCTTACATGGTAGTTTAGGGTAGTAAGAGTGCATAACTGGAAGCCACAGGGCCTTTTTCAGGCTGAGGTCAAAAATTTGCATACCACTTCTCTTGTGTCCTGTGAGTTAAACCTGATCCAAATGCAAGGTGTAGGTGGGATCACCAGTGAAGCACATTATGCTGCCTCTAAGGAGCTGAGTGATCTTGGACAGATTCCTTAACCTCCCTTAAGCTTTAGACTTTCCATTTATAAAATAGAGTTGATACCTTATAGGGTTTTGTTGAAGCTACAAATAAGATGCAGAAAACTCTTAGCACACAGTTCCTATTGTATAGTGGCCATTTAATAAGTAGAAGCTGGTAAAGTGATAACAGTAGAGGAAAATATGCACATGTGTATGTATATATATATATATATATATATATATGTGTGTGTGATGTGTGTGTATGTGATTATTGAAAACAACTGGTTTGATGGTATTGCAAACCATTATGTACTGTGGTGTAACAAACTCATTTAGAATTATGAATAGCAATGACTTTTTAAAAATTATTTTATTTGTTCTTTTTAGGTATACATGACAGTAGAGTGTACTTTGACATATGTACATGGAGTATAATTCTAATTAAGATCCCATTCTTATGGTTGTGTATTTATATATAAGGATAGGAAAGTTATGTATGATTCATTCTACTGTCTTTCCTATTACCTCCCCCTCCCTTTCCCTTCATTCCTCTTTGTCTAATCCATGAACTTTTAATCTTCCCCTCCCTATCCTCTCTGTTTCTGGGTTAGCATCCACATATCAGATAACATTTGGCCTTTGTTCTTTGGGATTGATTTATTTCACTTAGCACAATATTCTCCAGCTCCATCCATTTACTAGCAAATGCCATAATTTCATTCTTCTTCAAGGCTGAGTAATATTCCCTTGGGTATATATATAACACATTTTCTTTATCTATTCATCTGTTGTAGGGCACCTAGGTTGGTTCCATAGCTTGGCTATTGTGAATTGAGTGAGTAGCAATGACTTTTAGAGCAAAATAAAGACACTAGCAAAATCAAGATGTTGCAGAATGTAGTTTTCTTGTATGGCACCTAGTAAAAGTTAAGCGAGTAAATGTTGTCAAGTGAGTAAATTCATTATATGCTTTGTTTTTATGTCTAGGGGGAAAGCTAACAAATTTACATTAACATTAAAACTACTTTCTAACAGGATTTGGAATATGGAATGTGTTGTGTCTCTAAGCTGAGATTCTGTTTTGCTCTTTTGCAGGTAACAGGATACATAACTGGGTTGCTCTTAAGAACTGATGCCTAAATCACCTCAGCATGGCCTGTAGTGGAGGAGGTGGGCATGGCCAGCCTTCCTCAGCTATACTCTCCCCGGTTACCCCTGGAAGTCTTTCCACTTCTAGAACCCGTGCCCATAGCATATGCATGGTGTCTGACTTTTTCTACCCAAACATGGGAGGCGTGGAGAGCCATATTTACCAGCTCTCTCAGTGCCTGATTGAAAGAGGGCACAAGGTCATAATTGTCACCCATGCTTACGGAAATCGAAAAGGCATCCGTTACCTCACTAATGGCCTCAAAGTCTATTACTTGCCTCTGAAAGTCATGTACAACCAATCTACAGCCACGACCCTCTTTCACAGTCTGCCATTGCTCAGGTACATATTTGTTCGGGAGAGAGTCACCATAATCCATTCCCATAGTTCTTTTTCTGCCATGGCCCATGATGCTCTCTTCCACGCCAAGACAATGGGGCTCCAGACAGTCTTCACGGACCATTCCCTTTTTGGATTTGCTGATGTCAGCTCGGTGCTTACAAACAAGCTTCTAACTATATCTCTTTGTGACACAAACCACATCATTTGTGTCTCTTATACTAGTAAGGAAAATACTGTACTAAGAGCAGCACTGAATCCTGAAATAGTGTCCGTCATTCCTAATGCAGTAGATCCTACTGACTTCACTCCAGACCCATTTAGGAGGCATGATAGTGTAATAACTATTGTTGTTGTCAGCAGACTTGTTTACAGAAAAGGTAATGAAATGATAGCTATATTTGCATTGCAGTCTTTTTTCCTAATAGAAAGCTGTTGAATACTTGTGTGTGTATATATATATATGATGATTGTTTGGTTTTTTATTTTGTTTAATGGTTTTATAATTACTTCTGCATTAACCAGAGTAAAGAAAGCTCTGATGTTGGTTTACACATCCAAGGAGAGAAATTTTTAGAATGGTGATGAATGCTGCCCCCAGCCTTTGATGTTTTAATGGTTGATGAAAGATAAAAACAATAACCTGATGCTGTGTCATCACTAAGATCTTTTACAAAATTAAAATAGCCCTGCACATGTGGTAAGAAGTAAAGGATTCAACCCACCACATGGCCATTTCTTTCTGATTGTAAAGGTAATATATTTTCATTGCAGATGTTTTAAAAGCTAAGAAAAGCACATAAGATGAAAACTAAAACGAGGGGTATTGGTGTTATTCAGAGATGACCCTAATGGACATTTTGATTTATAATTAACTGTCCTTTTTAGGCCTATGTCCATATGCTCAATATGAATGGGCCTGCTTGGCACACTATTGTTTTATAGCTTGCTTATTTGATCTAATCATATATGAGACATTGATAATATTGGCAGGTAAGTGGTGAAGAAGAGAGGATTCGATGGCCCAAGGTCAGAGCCTGGCTCTATCCTATTGTATGATTAAGGGCAAGTTATTTAACATCTCTAAGTTTGTTTTTTCATTTGTTTAAGCAACGGTGGGAACTTTGTGAAAGTTCACTGATGGTTCCTATAAAGTCCTTAGCCCAGGTTGTACTTGATAAATGTCCAGGAATATCAAGGATTTTTTTTTTTTTTTTTTTTTTTAGTGCAGCACTCATAGACGCCACTAAAGCATTTGTGGAAACTCATTTACCAGAATCTGAAATAGTCTGATTATTAAAAACATTATAGAGCCAGGTGCAGTGGTGCGCATCTGTAGTCCCAGCAGCTCCAGAGGCTGAGGCAGGAGGATCTCAGGTTCAAAGCCAGCCTCAGTTCAAAGCCAACTCAGCAACTCCCTAGTAACTTAGTGAGACCCTGTCTCAAAATAATAGGGCTGGGGATGTGGCTCAGTGGTTAAGCACCTCTGGGTTCGAACCCTGGTACCAAAAATAAAAATAAATAAAAACAGAGAGAGTTACGAATGCTATTTATGAACTTAATAATCACTTATTTACTTTCTTGAAATATTTGAACTTAATTCAAAATATTAACCACACTGATTAGTGAGTAGTTTGATGTAGAGCTGCTGGCTTCAGGTACTAGTACACTGATTTCAGTGGCTTCATCTTGCACAGTCACCTTCACAAAGCACAAGCTACCATTGCTACTTTGGGCTTCTTTTAAGTGGGGTGAAAACCTAAAGGTGCATGAAGTGATGTTCTCCTGGACTTTTAAAATTTGCTTTCAGTTTTACACAGTGGTTTAAACATTTGTATTCTCATCTGACAAGAACTTAGTTCTATGACTTTTCTTTATTGGATTTTTCAACCATTCAGCTTAGTTTTCATAGAAACTTATATTGTCATTTTATGTGATACTTAATTAAATTAACCAGTACAGTGACAAGTACAACTGGCATTACACAGATTTGTGAACAGATGCAGCAGGTTTTGGGTAAGCAAGAAGCTTAGCAGTGTACCAGTGTACTAGGGAGTGGCCCAAAACCTAGATATAGTCCCTGGTTGGTATAGTTCACTTTTGGAATGGGAAGCTTAAGTCCACTTAAGGGAGACTGGTAAAAGAAACTTAAACTAAACCATATTTTTCTGGGGCCAAGGCAGCAGTATGCTTCTATTCTTTATCTGAGAAGATATGAATGCGGCTGGGGGTGTAGCTCAGTGTAGCTCAGATAGAGCATTTTGCCTAGCATGTGCAAGGCTCTGGGTTCAATCCCCAGCACCAGAAAAATTAAAAATAAAGAAGAAGATATGAATGGACTTGTATTTTATTCTGAATCTCTTTTGGGATATTGGTGACGTGTTTGCTGTAACTTAGAAAATATGCTTAATTTATTTTTTAATCAAATAGTATACTTTTGTGAGGTAGCTGAGTATGAGGCATATGTGATTAAGGGTCAGCAAAATTAACTACTCATCCAAAGGTTAAACCTATCACCTCTACTTCACTATTGTGATGTTTTGACCAGCTGAGCTAACCACCAACAGAGTGAAGGTACAGCTTCTCCTGTTTAATACTCAACAAATATTTATCGAACTCTTTCCGTATGCCAGGCACCCTGCAAATAGTGGCATTCTGAGAAGGAACGGCCACATTTGTAATCCAAAAGTGAGTAGTCATATTAATGGTCCATTCCTTATTAACAAATTAATTTCTTCAGGAGATGTCTATTGTACCAGCTATCAAAAGCATAATGGAGTGGATTAAGTAAGAGAGGCTAAGTCCAAATTTTCTTTGCCCAGATTTCCTGGTTGACTTCTGAGCCCTGTTTTGCTCTCTGGCAAGGTTTCCCCATGCTCTGTGTGTGTGCAGGCACACCCCATTTCCTCCTATAGTGGTAATGACAACCTACCATTTGTATTCTGCAGTTCATAAAGCCTGTGCATGGTACAGTACCTCACTTGACCCTCCCAACAACTGTAGGGTAGATGTTATCTGCATGTAACAGACAAAGAAACTGAGTCTCAGAGAGGGTAAGTAACTCACCCAGGTTACACAGTAAGTAACAGATGATAAATGTGAGTCCAGCTCATCTCGAGTTAAGGCCTCTTGTTCCCCTACTCCCAGCCTGGTCACCATTATCCTAGGATAGATCAGAAAATGCTTTAAAATATTGTTAGACTGAGCTTTTAAAGAAGTTTGAATTGAGAATTTTTCTTGTCTTTTTGAGTATGGCAATTGAAAGTCTCTTTGTCCGTTCCTTTGTGTTAGACTCTTCTTAGAAGCACCAGAAATGATTTTTTTTTTTGTAGTGAGGAAATAAACCCTTTATTCTGATAACTATTATAGAGCACTGATAGTATTAACCAGTCTCATTTTTTGTAAAGTGATTGTCAGGATTAAATGACAATGCATTTAAAGTACATTGCCTGACATAGGAAGCATTCGGTAAATGTTAAAAATTATTAGCAGTTATGATTATTGCTCTATTTTTATTTGAAGAGTGAACTCTTAACATTGTATTTGAAAAGGGGGGAAGTGAGAAAAGAAAGGAAATGAAGGAATCATAGAAGACTAAATGTTATTTAGCCACCTTTTGCTTTATCTAGAAATTTAGTTGATGGATTTGATAATGGACTTGAAACAAAGATAGCTAAGATTTTTAATGAGAACCCTTTATTAATTCAGAAAAAATACATGGGAATTTATTTTTGATATACGCCATCCTCTTTTGAAAATACCAGCAGAGTTTCTTTAATGAATCCTACTTTGCATTACTTAATGAAAATGACCTTATATGTGTCATTTCTCCCAGAATCTGTTTATAATTGATCTGCCTGTTTGTGGGTAGATGAACATAAGAAATGAATTCGTGGATGTAAATAACCAAATAGTAGCAACATTGCTGTGGCTTTCGATAGCCCCTTACTTTTTCAGACTATAGGTCATGATTTACTTTATTACTTTATATTACATGAGGTTGTGGTTACAGATTATCAGAAAATATTTTTTTTAAAAGGAATCAAGATGCATTTTTTTTTGTTCTGTGGACTGTAAAGATCTAACAGTTGAGGTCCAATTACCCTCATTTACTCCCATTCTGGGAAAGTGGGCTATAGCTGGTTTGGGTGGACTTTTTAAAATTCTGCTAACACTGTAGGGTTCATTACAAAATCCTTTGTACAAATTGTGTTTTGAGCAAAGTGCAGGGAGTAATTAGACTTTGTTGCTTAGTCCTTTCCTGTGGCAGGAAGTGGAATTATAGACTGATAGAATTTTTTGCTGAAAGAGACCTTGGTCTTTAGGTACATAGTTCCCTGCAATTAATAGATCAGGAGACTGCCGTGATCAAAGGACTCGCTGGTTAAAAACAACAACAAAAATACAGCAGAGGCAAGACCTAGATCTCCTGTTAGTCATTCTGCTGTGGAGAAAGCTAACTCAAATCTTAACCACCTTAAATACCACTTAACGTGGACAAGTAAATAACTTATAGTATGTTGAAACAGGATTAATTGTCCATATTTTGGGTGTGTGGAAGGTAACAATGGATGTCAGGGTCTTTGTCTTCAAGAATTGCAACTCTTGAGGACTCCTGGGAATTTATGAAGCATTCTACTCTTGGGAGATTTGGTATCTCCAAGTGAGTGGATTCTCAGTAGTTCTGATGATTTTTAAAGTTTAAATATTAATATCTCTAACATTCATCTGTATTTTATATTTTCAGGAACCGATTTGCTTAGTGGTATAATACCTGAACTCTGTCAGAAATATCCAGATTTAAATTTCATAATTGGAGGAGAGGGACCAAAGAGAATCATTTTGGAAGAAGTACGAGAAAGATACCAGCTACATGACAGGTACTGATGGCTTCCATAGTGTTGTGGGTGAGAAGATATCAGCTATCCATTTTGGTTTTGACTAGATGTCTGTTTTAGATGTGCTGCTTCTCCTGTGTGTAGTTGATATAAAAATGTAGTATAAGTCCTGTTTTTAAAAGAATTTACATAAAGTGAGAAAATGAGAATTCAGTTTTATTTTTTCTATTAGTCTAATATTATGTGATTTTGGGGGACAGTTGTTGGAGGCGCTGTGGAAAGCACACCCACACACAAAAATAACCACTTTGGAAATATTTGTAGATTTCTGAGCCATATTTTGTTGTGATTTAAATAACATGGCACTGGCTGGGCATGTAGCTCCTTGGTAGAGCACTTGCCTAGCATGCACAAGGCCCTGGGTTCAGTCCCCAGCAGTGGAAAAAAATAACATGGCCCAAATCATGTAAATTGCTCTGCACACGTAGGTTCAGACAGGTATTTTCTTTAGTAACTTTGATAACACACAATATGTGTATGTATGAAACATCATTTTTTTTTGGGGGGGGGGTGTGCTGGGAATTGAACCCAGGGCCTTGTGCATGCAAGGCAAGCACCCTACCAACTGAGCTATATCCCCAGCCCCTGAAACATCAATTTTGAAAAGGCCATTTTCCTGTTAGAAATGAGGAAATATTCAATCACCAAAGTGTATTAATATTTTTATTAAATGCAAGTTAGTTTTGGAGAAGATGAAATTTGGTATACGTAACAAAAGTTAGAAATATGTAGTTATATGAGTTGTAACTCAACAGCTTTATAAGGCTTTCTTTTAGATCATTGTTTGAAGATATTGGTTTTTAGAGGTGGTAAACATTACAATAAAAGAATCTAAGTGTAATATAAATAGCTAACTTAGCTTAGAAATTAAATTTCTTTTGTGGCATGATTTTTCACTCCCTTCTTTCTTCCCCTCTTATTTAAAAAATCAGGGTGCGTCTTTTGGGAGCATTAGAACACAAGGATGTTAGAAATGTCTTAGTTCAAGGACATATTTTTCTTAATACGTCCCTTACCGAAGCATTCTGCATGGCGATCGTGGAAGCAGCAAGTTGTGGTTTACAGGTAAAAAGCTTTCAGGGCTTGTATTGTTGGGATTTCTGTGTTCATATTTTGGAAAGGAAAAAAAAAAACACACTGAGACACATGCTGTAATAATTTTTTAAGTTGATTTTGTTGATTTCCCCAAGGTCTGATTATATGGACCATGTATTCTTTTTTTTCTTTTCAAGGTTGTAAGTACCAGGGTTGGTGGAATTCCTGAGGTGCTTCCAGAAGATCTTATTATTTTGTGTGAGCCTTCAGTAAAATCTTTGTGCAAAGGGTTGGAGAAAGCTATTTTACAACAGAAGTCGGGGGCATTGCCACCTCCAGAAAATATCCATAACATAGTAAAGACTTTCTACACCTGGAGGAATGTTGCAGAAAGAACTGAAAAAGTATGTCACGTGCTGAGAAAAGATTTTGTCTGAACTCTTGATGTTTCACACACACATATTTGCTTTCTTTTACATACAAGTTTGCCATTGATATTGTTGGTTAAGTTTATGAACTCTCTTCCTTATAGAAAGAAAGGAACTATGTATTACTTTTGATACACATGCTGGCTAAGTTTTCGTTAAAACATTGCATTTGACTTCTGATTTTATTGATTTTCCTGAGGAAAATTAGAGCAACCTCATAACTTGTTGATATTTAAAAATATTAAAAATTTAAATATTTAAAAATATTAAAAAATATTTTTAGTTATAGATGGACACAGTACCTTTATTTATGTATTTATTTATTTTTTGAATGCAGTGCTGAGTATAGAACCCAGTGCCTCACATGTTCTAGGCAAGTGCTCTATTAATGAGCTACAACCTCAGCCCATAACTTGTTAAAGCTGCTTCCTAAACTTTTTTTGGTCCTTTTGCTAACTACTGTGATTTTCTGCAGGAAAATGATTTTTGCATCTTTGAACTGTTTGAGAACATAATAAGTTAGAATTCAAAATATACTTAAAAAGTTGGAAAAATGATCACAATAAAAGACAGCTATAGGGAATTTCAAAAGGACAGGTACAGGAAATAGATTGACACCCTTAGGTAGGAGAGTGTGCTTGTGAGAAATGCTTCCTGATTTTGGTCTAGAGACTTCATTTATTCTATACAGTTTTATCCTTTAGGTCTTTCTCCTGACTACTTCTTCCTCATGCCTTTTATCACCATGTAACAAGCTGAGTGGAAACAACTCATTCATTGTGGAAACAACAATTCATTTTCTTAGTATATAGAAATCCTGGACCAGAAAGACAGCCAGGTAGAGTATGGAAAAGGTTGTAGTGTAGAGTAGTGCTTTATATTTTCAAGGTATGCAATGGAGCAGACAGTTTTTAGCCTGAAGTAGTAGCAAGGTGTAGCAGAGAAGAGAATATATTGTCTTTTACTGTAAGGCTTTTTTACTTAGTTTCAATGATCAGATTCAGTATATAAAATGAGCCCATATTTGAGAACAAATTCAAAAACATCTTTATCTCTAAAAATGGTCATATGTAATAACATTTTCAGTTGAAACATAAGATGTTTTTCAATAAATGTTTTTGACTGAAGTGTCTGTGAGGCACTCTGACCTTTTAGAAGTCTTGCAGAATCTCAACCCATGTGAAATAGCTACCTTTTCCTTTGAAAGCTGGAATCTAGCACTGATTATCTGTGACTGTGCATGTCAGAGTTACCTGGGTAACCTCTTCAGACTGTCTCCCTGCCCCCTTAGCTCCCCAACCACTTCCTAAATTCTAATGTGATTCTGGGGGAGCAGAGATGGAATTTTGTGTACGGTTAGCAAGGATATGTGGCTAGAGAGGTTTTTGGCTTTTTTTTTTTTTTTTGGTGATACCACTCTTTTGTCCATCCTGATTGGGAACCACAGCTCTTTTAAGTTGTGACTTGACCTTCTTGATGGACATCATATAAAGAATTCTGAGCTATTATAGGTAAAGAATTATGGTGACAGTTTGTCAGCATACATTAAAAGAGCTAGTTAGGACTTTTCTTGTAACCACATTTTCTCTATTAGTTATGTTTAAAGCAATAATAAAGCATCTGTATATTTTTTCTATTTTATACTCTGGTAGTTTATTGTATACATTTAGAAAAAAGTAAATCCTTATCTATAACAGATTGTCACATTCTTGTCACAGTAGTAAATTGTTATTTTATCACCTAAGATAATAAATTAACTGACATGAAAAAAAAAAAAACCTGGACAAACAGGTCAATTGTAGTTGGGCTTTTAATTCTAGACATTTTGATTTTTTTCTTTCTTTCGAGATTGAACCCAGGGGAGGGGCACTTAACCGCTGCTACATTCCCAGTCCTTTTTTATATTTTATTTAGAGACAGGGTCTCACTGAGTTGCTTAGGGCCTTGCTGAGTTGCTGAGGCTGACTTTGAACTTGCAATCCTCCTGCCTCATCCTCCAGAGCTGCTGGGGTTACAGCTTGAGCTGCCATGCTTGGCAACATTTTGATTCTTTTAAACTCCTTTTAACTGTGTTGTTCAGAAAGTTGATCACAAAATTAAATTGGGCTTCAGTCTTCACATAATTTTCAGCATCATCCTGATTAAAATTTTTATATTTAAAATGTCCTCAGGATAGAAGAACTAGATGAAAGTGTCCTATACTTTTCAAAGGCCACTGACCTGTAGATCTTGTACTTCATGTTGTAACTTTTCTTGAATTTAAAAGAAGATGGTTTACAGGTCTGTGAAACGAAGCACAAGTAATGCTTAAAGGCAATTAAAAAAATGGTCATGCTGGCCCATTTGATGTGTTCTAAACAAGTATGTTTAAAGATCTTTGGGTTTTGCTATTTTAGAGCAAAACATGCTCAGCAATGTTTTAAAAAGCAAGCCACCTACTTACCAATTCTCAGCAGCAAACTCAGTTTGTTAAAGTGTGAACTATGCTGCCTCCTAAAATTTATCCCCTATTTTCCCCTGTTTTACTTGCAGTCTATGGAATGTTTCTGGGTAGCATGGATGGCCTTGTGGCAGTAGAAAGAAGAGCCTGTGTATCCCCAGAAGCCCACTATATTGTGGCACTCTGATTATGCCTGATGTCTGCCAGATGCCAGTGAGAGCTTTCTTTGACCAGTCAAGGCATTGACAAGGCCAGTCCTGCTTGAGCACTGCTAAAGTCAGTGTTGAATTAAATATCCTTTGCATTGGTGACCCCAAAGAACTGTTCAGAAATTGTAGATCTTTGGTATTCTAGTACTCAGCTGAAGTTGATGGTGATCTCCTAGGGGAGAGGAATTAATTGTAGCTTATTCTTTGTGTCACACATATCTAGCCCAGTCTTTTGCCCAGACTGGGCAATGTACCCAATGAGAGTTGTATCAAAGGGCATTAAGGACATCCTTATTATAACAACAACAATAAACAAGAGCAAATTCTGTTTACGTTTCTGAAACTTTCCTGGTTAGTGTGAATTGTCCTTTGATGGGTCCACCAGCTCATTCTCAGTCTTCTCTCCTTCAGGTGTACGAACGGGTGGCGGGGGAAGCCGTGCTGCCGATGGACAAGCGACTGGACAGGCTCATCTCTCACTGTGGCCCAGTAACAGGCTATATTTTTGCTTTTTTAGCTGTGCTCGACTATCTCCTCCTTGTTTTCCTGAGGTGGATGACTCCAGATTCTGTCATTGATGTTGCAATGGATGCCACGGGGCCAAGCGGTGCCTGGACTCATCAAAATCCTGACACTACACAAAGGGTTGAAAATGATGAGGTTTTAGACACACCCAGATAGAATAGAAAACCCAGGTTGTAAAGTTTTAAACATTTGTAATAATTCTATTAAGGTGATTGAAAATAACCTTGCTTTGTTTGTTTTTGATTGTTAATTTTAGCAAGTTATGCTACCTCTATATCATTCGATATTTTCTTTTGAGGAAAGAAAAACTTATGCAATTCCTGAGTGTAGAAACTCCTTGCACTTCCTTAAAATGTAGAAGAGAACGTTTAAGCCACTCAGGTATGAAATTTTTCAGATTACTGAAATCCTTCTAGCAGAGATGTTTTAACATTATATTTTGAGAGCTTTGGGTGCTGAAGGGCCAAACGTTTCTGGGCATTTTTTGGCCAGTTTTTAACGTTAAAGCATTAATTAGACACTCACCAGATGTTTACAAGTTTTCTTTAGGGAAGTACAACAATTACATGTTCGTATACATTTATTAGATATTTAAGTCATGCTCTTAAAACATTTATTGGGTCCATTCAGTAAGCGTTACATCTAATCAGCGGGTTTCTTAAGTAAGATAGACTGTCAGTTACCAGCATGTTTTGAGTACCTGCTTTTGTGTAGAATGTTGAACTAGCTTCTTCCTGCTGTTCAGGACCCTGGTTGCATTTGCTCTTTGCTCATCTTTCAGATGGCTTCTTTTGTTATAGTCATAGTTGACATGAGATGGTGAAATGTCTAACATGCCAGAACTGCTCATATTAGTTAATGCCAGGAAAAGTCACTGGCATACTCTAAGTATTTCTTTGATCGGTTATGTGTGTTCTCCTCAGTAGAGCCTTCATCTTCAGTTATGTTTATGAAGCTTTTGATTTTTAATTTCTAGGGACCGATATCACTGTTGATAGTGCAGAGAAGCCCTCCACATTTTCAGTGCATAATTTCTTCTGTAAATGGCCTTTGTGTTTTCTGAGCAGAATGTATGAGGTGTGCCATCTCACAACCAGCTGCTACCCTGTCCTTTTGATATAAGTCGTTTCCTTCACTGTGGCCTAGCTGATGTCTGATAAGTATTGTCAATGTGCAAAAAGGCTTTACTTAAGAATGTTTTATTTATAGCAAACCAACTCTGAAAATCTTAGGACACAGTCTTTTTGTGAGTGGATGTTGTTAACTATAATTGTTGTTGCCCAGAGCCATGGGTTTTTAAACCCCAAATTATCCACATGGTGTGTATTATTAATTCTTTGAACTCTTTAGAATAAGCTTTTGTGAAAAAAGGACTGTGAATCAAAACAATGAGGCACTTGTGGGTGCACTAGATAGATTCTGTCAGTATTGTGATTCTGTACAGGATTTTTAAAATGACAACATTCACAAAACTTCTTACTTTTTAAGAGTATCTTAATATGCCTATTATCTGGTTGCCACTGGTATAAAAGAAATATATTTGTGTTTTGTTTGTACTAAAACACAAATGCAAGAGTGCAATTTTTAAAATCTAGAAGCTAGGGATTCTTTTGTTGGAGAAAAATGGACTGATCCAAACTATTTAGCCCTACTAGGATTTTTATGCATTGAAACTGACATAAATATGAAATAAACAGTGCAATATTCATGGTAAAGTGAGAAATGGTTAACATTTGGTTTTATTTATTCTACTCAGCAATTTTAAAAGGTACACTACTATTTTTTCCTTTTGCTTCTTAATTTATTTTTCAAATTTGTCATTGAATTCTTCAGTTGTTATTTATTTAAAGTGAAAATAGCATTTAAAATTGTTTTTGCATGTAAGATGTGTACTTTACAAGTGAGAAATTATTTTCCTTTTTTTGGTTTTCAAACAAATGGAAGTAAGTTTATTTGTCTTACATAAATCTTAATTTTCAGACTTCCTGGATACCTTAGTTGTAACTGTCAGTGTTGCACTGGTCAGTATGTGGAAACACATTGTTCTACCCCATTACTTAATGTTTATTTAAAAGTGAAATTACATTGATGAGGAATTTATTAAAAATATATTGTATTTCTTTTGATATTACAGATGGTTGCACATGTAAAATTGGTTTGTTAAAACATGCTACATGCCCAAAAATAAAGATGAGAATGACATTTTTGACAATTTTCTGAGTTTGTCTTATTTTATGACCAGGATATTAGTTACTGGTGGAATAGGGTCCTCCCGCCCCACCCTCCCTTTTGTTTTTCAGTGTAAATGTGTTGCTTGGTTTGTTAGTAAAACAGGAAATGTCCTTCAGATGATGACTCATTCTTTTATTTCTACAAATACTCTTTCTTACTTATGGAAGAGCAAGTTCCATTGCACCATTGTTTCCTGACCCAAATAAGCCCTTGTTTTGCACTGCACTAGAGTTCTCACATAGGATAAATGAATGCATCTATACACTATTGTTTATGTGAACTACATAATTATACTTTATATCTTGCCAGATATTGTAAGAGGAATTTGGATTTGGAATTTGTTTATAAAAGCCCAGCTTTCCCACCCCCTTTGTTAGAACCACTGTAAAGTAGTCACCTACATTAAATCAGATTTTAGTTCTGATTTATCTTACACCAGAACTTATTTTTGGCAATGTCATGTATTATAGGTTTGTATTTACTTTTGTAAAGTGTTTTTAAAGACCTTTTTATCTATCCTTGTATGCCCAGAAGGATGTGTCCAGATGTTAAATTGTGTGATTCTGTGATTGGGTTTTTTATATGAAATTATGAAAATTAATTCCAGTTTTGTACAAAATTTGATTTGTTTTCTGCAGTACTTTGGGGAGTTGAGTTTATTTTATCCTTGATCATTTATATTAGGCTGAGGCTCAGTGGAGCTCAACTGAGAGATGGGGGATTATTTTGTTCCCAAGGGGATGTCTGGCAAAGTCAAAACATTTCTAGTTGCATCTGGATGGGGTGTGACATTAGCATCAAGTTGAGTAGAGATCAGGTGCTGCTAAGCATTCTACAATGCTTTGGACAGCCCCCCACAACAGAATCAGTAGTGCTGAGGCTGAGAAAACTGAGAAACTGTTGACTATTTCATCTGTAAAAGATGCTATGAATTAACTATTAAATAGCATTTACCTTTCATTTCTGTCCCAAATATATTGCTCAAATGTAATAAAAACAGTCTTTCAGAAATAGTATAGCCATCTATTTGAACCAACTTTTTTGATATGTAAAAAATAGGACTGCCATGTTTTATGTGAAAATTAAAACCCAAACAAGATGAATAATGTTATAATATGATATACAAGACTGGTCTGACATGAGTGAACAGTGGCCTCCATAGAGTACAATTGGAGAAGGAGATACATGAAAAGAGCTAAGGCATTGTATTTATGTATTTTCCTACATTGGTGTTCTACTGGATAATCTAAGCTTGATAAAGAAAACATGTTAATATCCATTCCTTGAGAGTGGAAACAGCTCAAAATCTCAAAATAACAGTGAACTGGATGAGCTGTATCATGTGGCTCAATGTATGCCCATGTGTTGGCCTCGACGGTACTGTGAAATAGTTCTTATAGTCATTTTAATTTGCCTGAGTGCTAGGAGAAACTCCCAAAATTTTGCATAAAGCACTTATTAAATAAGATTTATTTGGTTTGTTTAAATAATTTGCTTTAGTGATAGGTTTTAGAAATTTAGAAAATCGAATATAGTCAAGAATGAAAGAAGAGATAGTTATGAGGAAAATTAAAATTAAATCAAATTCACTTGTATTGGCCAGTTGATAAGAGAATATTATCCAGTTAGGGAAGCCATTGATTTGTGGAATCTTTGGTTACTTCACCTAGAACCTAGAGCATCTCTTTTATGCATTTCATTTTGGTTCTTCCAAGATCAAGGATAACCCATATTTTCCAGAAAGATGCTCCACCTTTACTGATGCTTGAAATGGAGGTGAATGATTGGGAAAGAACCTTACCGTGGGAACTTGTCATGGGCAAAACTGCAGCAGTGATGAGTCTAACACTTCCAGTCACTTTCAAGTTTTTGCTTGGAGAGACATCCAACTTGATAGACCTTTCATTAAATACTGACTTGGAGTAAATAGTCTTTTTTAGCTGGTCTTATTTTAGATGTGAGCTTTAATCCTCCACAAACTTTAGAATAATGAAATGTTCCCAGGATTAGTATTTCCTACCAAAAACATGCACTTTTTTGTAGGAACATCAAATAACTTGCTTTGTCCCTATGGGGTCAGACAAGTGTCTTTTATCTTTCCAACCCTGCTTTCCAACATAATATAGCAAAAGTAGGAATTTAAGAGTAAAAAATGTTTCGGACTTAATCCCACTTGTTAGATGGTACTGAGTAATAATTTAGAACTCTTAGGAGTTTCTGGTTGGAAGGAAATTTCTTTATTTAACGTTGCCATGGATGTCCGTATCTGCAGTTGCCAAATCAGAATTAGATTAGAACCTACAAACTGAGTTCTCGGTAACAGGAGCACAGAGTGCTAGAAGGTTTAAAATAGATGTCATATGATACCAATTATAACTCAGTGAAATTTTGCAGTCCTGAGAACCTATACAGAGCATAAGCCAAAATGGAAGATGGACCTGTTTTCTATGGCTTTAAAAACATTTTTATTACAATGTTTGCTACCTTTTTTTTCTTCAAACTTTTAATTAAAGTTTTTTTGGCTCTCCTAACCCATTTCTATATCGTCAAAGGAAATAGAAAAGAAGCGGCTAGGATAGCAGAAGAGATCTATGGTGGAATTTCAGGTAAAAAAAATACATGAATTTATTCCCAATACTTAAAAAATACCCTCCTAGATAATTCATGTGAATAGTATTCTAGAAGGCAGATTTTCTTTGTACTTCAGTTTTGAGTGGGTAGTTTAAAAAAATTACCTGTCATTTAAATTAGCAAATGATGTTGGCTGCACCAATATGTGAAGAATTTTCAGCTTAATTTTTGCAAGTTAGTAGAGCAATTAGCAATTATCATTTAAGAAAACAGGATAGTGACTTTTATGAGTAATTTTGAAAAACCTCATTTCTACTGGACAAAAGAATTGCTCAGATAGCATTATTTTCTTTAATAACTGTTGTTTGTTTGCAGTGCTGGGAATCAAACCCAGGGCCTCATGTATGCCAGGCAAATGCTCTACCACTAAGCCACATCCCCAGCTCTATTTCTTTACCATTTTTAATCAACCTTTAAAATAAATAACATTCAGGTAAGACTAAATTGCCTCAGGAAATAAAATGAGCAATTTGATTTAAAGCAGCAAAGGTGGCATGCTATATATATTTTTGTGCTGATCATTTGCAAATGGAATTGATTAACCACTTGTMACTGTCAGAAAACTCTTCACAAAATCCATTTATGAGTGGCACCATGCAGAGCACCACAAGGAAAGGTTGTTATAATGTGGAGTACTAAGATTTGGATAAAACGTCTTAAAGTCTCATGCTTTGTAGAGATTAGACTACATTTCTTTTAAGAAACAATCGTAGTGAGATGCTACAAAAGTAAATGAATCAAGTGTCTCTGTCACTACTGGGATTGCCACTTAATAGAGGAGTATTTATTCATAAACAAGAGTTCAGAGTCTCCCTCTGTATTTTTAGTGTTTGCAGGGGTTCCAGGATTACATCATTCTTTATCTAGTATCCATTTCAATTTGCACCCATGATTCTCTTTCAAAATAGACTTATGTGATTCCAATACACTAGACAACTTGGAAAACACTAGACATCAGCAGTCTTATCCAAAGAAATAGGACCTCCAAAGACAAAGCATCAGAATGCTTCAACTAACTGGGGAAAATGAGAAGAATTTTGAAGTTTCAGAAAGTGTCAGAAGCCCTGGACTGTGGAAAGAGATTTCTTTTGGGGATTACATTTGTCACACATTTCAGGGAGGTACGTTATTTTGGTGAAAAAAATTAATGCTTATCTTTAGTTTCAAGTTAAGCATGATCTGGAAAGCTAATTTCTAATTTAACTTGTAAATTTGGGCAGGGACTATCTCAAATTTTCAGTAATAATTTTGATGTTCTCAGAGTTTAAATGAAGGTAAAGTCCAACAAAGTCAATATTGCCACAGGGTATAAAAATGTTTTCTCCAATTGCTCCTATGCATTATTCCTATCTTTATGGCCCTTAACGAGGAGCAACTTCTCTTAAAGGGTTTTATAGCAGTCAAAACCCATATAAACATTATTTCAATTGGCCTGGAGTCAGAATTCAAATCTCTGAAATAGATTTGATGACTCTATGGCTCAAATAGCTTTACCTGTTCAAACTTCTGGGATAATATTCACTTAAGTTGCAAGTAACATAATATTATAAGGTTAAAAACATATTTTCAATTATTGTTAACAAGAAGTGTGAATAGTGCATGTTAACTTCTCAGTTTAATTTCCTTCCTGTGTGTGTGTGTGTGTGTGTGTGTGTGTGTGGTGTTTGTCTGTGTGTGTGTGTGTGTGTGTGTGTGGTGTTTGTCTGTCTGTCTCCTCACATACCCCCACCCACATATATATCATAACATATCTGGATTTGGCAAATAAGTTTTTCTATAAAAATGTGGTAGTGAGACGCCAGGACCATATTTTTACATAATTCTAAAATTGCTTTTTCTTTTGACATTGTGAGCAGGTATATTAAAAATCAAGAACAAAATTTTGTGGCAGTGTTAAACTCAATCCAGAAGTCATCTTTAAACTCTTCATTGGTTGGAAAATATATTCTGTGGAAATATATGACATTTAATCATTAAGTTAGCTGACTTACAGAAGTCTCAGCTCAAAGTTAAATTTCCTGATTCTGCTTTGTATTCTTTAAAATTTTTTTTTTAGTTGTAGACAGACACAATATTTTTATTTTTGTTTACTTTTTTTATGTGGTGCTGGGGATCAAACCCAGGGTCTCATGCATGCGAGGCAAGCGCTGTACCACTGAACTACAACCCCAGCCCCTGTTTTGTATTCTTGTAAACTATTGTCAGCAATGTCAAAAACAAGAGCAGGGGGCTAGAGTTGTAGCTCAGTGATAAAGTGCTCACCTCGCATGTGTGAAGCACTGGGTTTGATCCTCAGCACCACATAAAAATAAATACGATATTGTATCCATCGACAACTAA